TTCTCTCTCTGGGAAGTCATGAGTGGATTCATTCTTCAAACTTGCTCCTTATCTCCCTGCTCCCATTCCTAAAAGGCTGTCTAACCACAGGAGCAAAGTCTTACTTTTTCCAGGGCACCTGATTCAAGGCTAATATTCATGATCTTCTATGCACTGAATTCTCTCCTCCTGTCACCAGGAGGAAGACCATTTTTCATGGAAAGAACAAATCTGAGGTGGCGTGATTCCACTGAGTCAAGCAGTCTCGGAATAGTGACCTTGACTCAATGAAAAGAAACCAGTGTGAGTGCTCATTTCCCACAAGACAGATAAAGCTTCATTCTAAGACAAAACAGTAAGTTGGATGGTGAAGTACACTGGCCTCTGTGTACCATCTCAGGAAGCAACTTGGGTGCAGTGCTGTTCATATCCATGGCAAGTGCATTCATAGCTCTCCTGGCAAGATTGGTGGGGCTTGAATTGTTGCAATGGATTAGTAACTAAGGATACTGCTTTGGAAAATGAATCGCAGATCTCAGTATGAAGCAATGGGATAGTCCAAAATCCAATTCATATTGGTCCATGAATGAGAAAACCTTGGCTCAAAAGGTTGTATGTAAAGAATAGATTTCTTGCTCCCCAAGGGAAAATCCAAAATGGATGAAGTCAAATTGGAATTTAAAGCTACCTTATAATTTGAGTTTCAACAAATATACCACGTCTACTGAAAAAAGAAAGGTATTTAAGTGAGTTGTAAACATTTAAAAACACACATACATATTCAAAATCTAAGAGAAAGTACTCTTTATACTATGCCAAGTAGTCACTTAAGAATACTAGTGTATTCTGGGATAGGAAGATGTAATAGAATCATTATTCATATTTTCAAATGGAAAAATTTAAATACCAGTAGTAATTTTTAGTCAAGAGGACATCATTAATTCCCATAGATTATAACAGTGCATCCCCAGGTTTTGCAAACATACAGCTGTGCTGCAAATAAAGCAAGGCAGGAAACACAAAAAGGGTCAAGTAAAAATAAAGACATGAAATTACCACCTCAGCTATGTGTGGCTATGTTCAGGTTTCATCGTTAATGCTCCAAATAACCCCACCTAGTAATATAATAAAGTGTACTTTGATATTTTTCTCAAACATTGTACTTTTTGCTCTATGTCTTATATAGAATCTGTGGTCATAACAGCTGATCTGAGAGAGACAGACAGACACTCCAATTGTCTTGGAAATAAGTCCAAGTCCATGGCAAATTCACTGGAGACTAACTCAGAAGATAAAAGAATATTTCCTATACTCAACATTTAAAAACCTACTTGTTCAAACTCAGCACCACAAAGGGAAGAAAGGGAGGGAGAAAGGGAGTGAGGAAAGGAGGGAAGGGGAGGAGGGAGGAAGGAAATACTTGAGTTCATAAACACAATGTAGGAATCATGCATTTTATAAGTCAAGTTTTACATGATATCCCAGGGAGAGAGAGATAATACCTACATTCCACTCCCTCCTTATACTTTCTGTATCAAAATTCATGATTTAGAGGAACTACTAATAAATCCTAATATTATTTCCAGTAATTTGAATCAATTAAAGTTTCAATAGTCTACCTACACTGCCTAACTATGAGTTGTGGATAACATAGTAAGAGGAAGTAGGGTAAGCGCAAGGCATTCCATTTAACAAACTGGGTTCTTTTAACATAAGCTGACGTATTTCCGTACATATTTATAAGGCTTCTTGGTTATTATTAGGCTGTAATTGCAGTTGTTCTAACACCTAATAAGCCATGGTTGGAAAAACAAAGGCAGGTTAATTTGTGATTTCCTCTACTCATTGAGAGGCAAATTAAGTGTCAAACAGCTAATACAGAACATATTTCATTTTATGAGATTTTAATTTAATTCTGCACCATATCACTGATGCCTTAATATAGGGTGGTTTATCTAGAAAGAGGAGCAATTTATAAACCTCTTTCAATAGGATCTTTAACGATGGGATATGATAGCATAATTATCGCAGTGCCTGCCGTCTTCCTAAACAGACTTCTGTCAGCATTTCCATCAACACAAATCCTTGCTTCTCAGAGACTTATAATTTATTTTTTAAAGTTGGCATCAGAAGAATAATTGTGTGTATAAATGAGAATATCCCCAAATTTTGCCTTCTTATAATTAAAAATACTTTAAAAGCTTATCATACTTACATTATCTCATTTTCTATAAGACAATCAGATAGTAAGCATTTTGGGATTCAAGTTTTTGGATGAAATAATTTGAAGGTTTCTGTAAACTGAGTCAGCTTAGCCAACATTTCCCTCCACTTCCAAGATGATCACAGGCATGTGTGCATCACAGTCAGAGGTGCATGAGCAGCCCCAGGCCTCATTGTTGCACCAGGTCAGGAAGAAATGCCCAGCATACTCCATGCCACCAACTATCTCACGTGCCAACCCTCAATATTTGCTTAGAGCTGCATGTGTCTTTGAATTCTTCTTATAATTTGAAGAATTGGCTAAGGCAGATAGCTTCATTTGCATGTAATGACACCAGCACATCAAAATAAGTTGCCAGAGCTCACAATGTAAGCGAATGGCAAAGCAAAAAGAGGAATTCAAGTTCAGTCACCATCTCAGAGAGTGCACCAGCATGATTGCCCACTGAGCATCTTTTACAAGTACTGAGCCTTGTTCACAACCTAACAAGGAGCAGTGACCTCTAATGATAAATTACCAGGCAAGAGAAAAGTCACTACAATGAAAGTATACCAAGGTGCTATAGGAACAGCCTCTGGGATAGCCAGTGACATGACACTGGGGTCAGGCTTTGAGGATTAATAAGCAGGAACTTGCCGTATAGAAATGGCAGGCCCTTGAGGCCAATGCTGACAGAATGTCATGCTATAAAAGCACAAGGTGTGACATGCCATAACTTCTTAGAGCCCGCTTTATAAGATCAGTATTCACCCATTGACCTGCTGGATGAGTCAAAGTTGAGCAGTCCAAGGAAGTCACAGACCCACAAGCTCCCCATGCACCATGCCTGCAGCGATGATATTCTCTCTCAGAACCCTCCAGGACTTCTTTATCTGTTTAGGATCAGAATTACCTATCAGCCCTACATTACAAATCTTTGATAATTACACATGTAGGCTGCTAGAGAATAATTTAGTTAGGCACTGATAAAGTATCTTAAAGCTTGGCAGAAAAGGTAGAAAGTACTAAATGCACAGAAATCCCAGCTCAAAGTCATACCTGAAATGTAACTCCCTGCTCGAATCCCAGCATTCCCCAGAGCTGACCTGCCTTATCCTGTGTAGTTCTCACTCTGAGCCAATGTATGATAATAAGCAGGGCCCAGAACACACAGTAGAAGCTGTTCTATTCTGCCAAAGAACCAAGATATGGGATTTTTATTGATAAATTCATATTTGAATATAATTATGAGGCAAACTATAATGAACCTAAGGAAGTAGTTCAGTCTATTATTTAAACTCAGTTTTAAAATTTTCTCTAGAACACGAATTTTGAAAGAGTGAAGCACTCCCAAATTCCATAGAAAATCTGATTTAAATTACATCATCACAGAGACTCAGGTCTGGGAGGAATTAGCCATCCTTGTCTCCAAGGTCTTGCGTGATCTGTACCATGGGACAAATCCTCATCTGAGATCCATGTGGTCCCATCTGTACCATAAAAGCTCTGTATAACAGGGTGAATTACATCTTGTGTTTCAGAATGAATTTGGAATTTCCTTCCCTTTGTATAGAAGATCTTAAATTGGTCCCTTGGTTTTATGTGAGTGTATTTTTAGCAGGCATCAGAATTCTGTAAATACTTACTTGTGTTCCAGTGAGAAGTCGAAGAGTAAGTCAGAAGTTTCTGCATTCTCTCTCTATAAATACTCACTTCTCCTTTAATGCTTATAGAAGTCTGCAACCCAGATTCATTACTTACCTCCAGGCAAATCTGCACTGAAATTACAATTCAGTAATGGGAGATGGATCCAAAAAAACTGTTGGTAAAATATTATATGTGGACTTGCGCATGTAGTTAGGACTGTTAATATCAATTAATTCTGTTCACAGAGGAGGACTTGTTTTAAAACAACTTCATTTTTCTTTGGCATAATGTGTAATTACACAGCTGTAACTAATAGCCATGGAGATGCAATCCACAATCTAAATAACCAGCATTATTCTTCAAAGTACTATTTGTGCTTTCTTAACTTTACCGTCTCAGAATGAAAGGTGATTATTATAAATGACTAAATGTGTATATCAAGGCCATTAGCAAGGGACAGCCCCTCCCGCGGAGTGGTTCCTAGTGTTAGAGTATATGACAGTTTTCTGCAGAGTACTGCAAAAGAATTCTGTTTCAGCGTGTAAATCTACTATTCTTTTTACCTCTAAACCAAGTAAGATGATACTTATTTCCACAGGTTTTCTTTTTCCCTTTTCTAATACATGGTAGCACCACCATTCTTCCCTTTTATCTTTGTGCAAACCATGTGCTCGATCACATTTGCCATTTTGCTTGAATGACAGTCCCATCAATCAAGTGACTGTTAGTGTACATACCACAGGGACTATGAAAACGTACCATAAAAATTTCATTACGATCCATTGTGATCCCCAGGACAGGACTTTCATGTAACAAAAAAATTTTAGCATCAAAAACTTCAAACTAATCTCAACCAAATACATATTCTAAGTAGTAACCATCCATGAAGATTTAACTCTTTAATTTTGTATTTACAGTCCACAGAACACACATCAGCAAAATATATAGGAAATACTTGCCAGCTACTTCGTGTGACAAGTATTCCTCAGGAAGCAGCAGGGATGTGCTTCAGTGAATCCAGGAACAGACAGGCTTGCTGTATTTCAAAAGTAAATCTTACACTTCTATCACATCTTCAAAGCCCAGCAGACACGCCACTAACAAAAGTCCTGAGACCACCAACACCGGTATCTTGTACCATTTCAATAATGGGTGAAGTTTTAATACTTACACATGCAACGGAGGAATAGGAGACGGATCGTAATGGTAACGCCCCTCATGATGTCTGGCATCAATTGGTACAGGAGGATGGAAGGCAGGAAAAAGATGAGGAGGGTCTGAAAAAGAAAGAAGACTCATCCTATGTAAAATGAACATTTTGAAACAGCATCCCAACTCATGAAGCAACACTGCTATACTGCCTTCACCTCTTTTAATGAATATTCTCCAACTCTTGAAAATTAATGGTGAGACTTACTGAGGCACCGCAGAAGTGTGAATGGGCAAATATATGCACCTGCTATGGAGAAAGCTGAGTCTGTAGTGCATCTAAAGCCCAGACAGGAAAGCAGGAGCAAGAGAAGCAGCATAACTCCCTACCCAGAAGAAAGTCTGCCCAGAGGGAAGGCAGATGGAAGCCACAAAACCAAGAGGAAAATTACATTGTCAAGTAAACTTTAGACAAATGCTTTTTTTTTTGGTAATCTAAATATTACTTTCAAGTCTCCCACTGCCTTGATGATGATTGTCAAGGCTGTTCTTTCCAAAGCTTCTGCTAGAATCTACTTGCATATATACACACACATAACATGCCTTTATTTGATTTATTTTCTTATTTAGAATGGCACCCAGACAGTTCCGAAAGTCTGAATAGTTTGCCTTAGTGCTGAGGGTAGCAGGCTCAAAGGCAAGTTCAAGGGAGGCCCTGTGAAGAGGTTCCGCGTGACCACTGGAAGGTGGCATAGAACCAGGCTGTGGAGGTCCCAGAGACTGCTAATCGCACACAGGGCAGGATGTGGACAGCGCCCCTTGAAGAGGCTGTAGATGACATTACACGTGTCTGCTGAGTTCAGGTGACTAGGATTTTCTTCCCCATATATCCATCTATTTTCTAGTTTTTCTTCAACAAATATCTTTTAGCATTATAAGCATAATAGACCCTTTTTTCTTTTTTTAAGGACCACACATATTTCCCTTGTTTTGAGCTTTGCCCCTGCTTCTTTCCCTTGACAATCTAAGACTGTAGTAATGAAGAAAAAATAAAGTAGGAGTGAAACCCTTTGAGCAGGGCATTGATAGAAGCTGTTCGGTCCCCTGGGGGTGGGGGAGGCTGTGACTCTACCGGTATTTACCAGATCCAGGACCAAGAAAATCCAAGAGGGCTGTGGTATGAACAATGCCACTTATTCTTCCTCAATGAATTTTGTGCTTGTTGTAAAATCAGGTGAGGAGGGATTGAGTAGTACAGAAGTAGAAAAAAAAAAATCTTTCTGGAATTATCAAACCATTGTCACTGTGGTATCATGACATATAACACCACTGAAAAATTCAACAGGTGATGAATACCCTAAGTACCTCATCATTTATCACACTTTACACATTTCATAAAATCCATATGAAAAACCAATTATATTTTTAAGTTCAGAAATTAGTACTTATGGATGTGAGAGTCATGTCTGTTGTAATGTAAGTATTAATAGTTGATTTGCTCCTCACAAAAAGTCCTACATCAGTTCTTGAAAGTCAGAGAAATAAACTCAAGAGTTTGACATACGGTGATACAGACTTTTACTTCCTTGTTTGTTGGCTCTTGGCTATCATCTTCATAACGCAATTCTCTCCACCAGATAAGTGGTTGTTCAGTGTATCTGATTTTCTCTATATGGCTGCAACTAAGAATTATGACAAAGTACAAATCCATAGTTCACACACACAAGACTAAACTGTAAATTTACTCCACATTAATATATAACTCCTATATCTGGGAAATAACAGCCATTATCTTTTATACAAGTATTTTATAATGAAGTTGGAGTGACTATGAGCCCAGGGAAGGAGACCAGCTAGTTAATCCTATAAAACCAAAGGAGAATACCCCAGCAGTACAAAAACCTCTTCCCCCAGGAAACCCTACAGCACTATCACTGACATTGAATAGACTTTGCTGTCTTTTCAAGAAATTATTCTTTTCAGTTAGTCACTCATTTTCCCCCCTCTCCTTTCAGAATGAAAGAAAATGACCAAGCACAGCCAACAACGTTTGTGAGGAAAATATAAAACACAGTTACTGTGGCATTAATACCTACTTCTCAAGTGCTCAGTCTACAGCATTTTGTGAGTTGAAAAGTTAATTCTGACTGAGTGTGCGTGGCACAACTTTGTAACACTGTTCATACAGAGCATTTATTGATGTCCCAAGGAAATTTACAAATTCAAAATTCTGGTATTAGGTTTAAAGAAAGAACAGAAAATTAATGGATGTGGTCTGATGTGACCAAAAAAGACATCCAGTTCTAGTTTGCTTCATAGTTTCTTTGTTTCCCTCTTGATGAAATTTAAAATAACTTTTCCTGGACTGTTGAAGTCTGTGTGAACAACTGTAGCTTGTGTGGTTATTAACGGAAATCACACCTCGTAAGCCACTTCATAGCTTCATGAGATAAAAGAAGAATAAAAAGCAGGAAGACCATGTCCTTTAACACATATGGCATCACATGACAGGAATCCTAACACATTTCTCAAAAGATGTTCTGACTCCTCAAACACTGGGTGCTTGCCTCGCAGCTTGCTTTGTCGTTCCTATGCGGATCAACAGCATATTCTGTCACAGTCCCCAAAAGCTGTCCATGGAAACTCACATGACAAGAAGAGGCCCCTGTGGCCAGCAGTCACCATAACTATCCACATGGCGGTTTATTATTTACACATGAGCAGTGCAGCTGTGTCATATCATAACTCAAGTGTATGTGTAATAAGTTACCGCGTCACCGCCATCTCCTGCCCTGGCCCTTGACAAAACACCGCATGATGACTTCTCCAAAGTCAGGCAAAAATTGCTGAAGCAGAAGGAAGTGCCACTAAACCTGGCTACCTCCTATTTATCATGCAATTTCCTGACTGATGGTTCCACAAACCAGCTGCTAAGTGCTGTGTACTCTACTGTCAGCAAACTAACGTGCTAAATGGAAGACAGGGAGAATAATGTGCAGAACCGGGGGAATCAATTTTACCGAGGGAATTAAAATTCTACCAGGTGGGGGTGGGTCTGTGGAGCAGTGGTAAGCAGTGGACTGTACATGCGTATAGTTGCAAAGATGATTTATTACAGACTTGCAAGCAAGAGGTTTGCTTGCAAACCTCTTGTACAGAGTCCTCTCATACTAAACACAGATTTGAAGAGAGTGCATAGTGTCTGAGCCTTGAGTGGCAATTGTCTTGAAACCCTGTAAATATGTAATTGGCTTGACACATGTTTAAATCAAAATGCATAGCAAAAATATTTGTGCTGGGTAGAGTTGTCAGTATTCAGTGTCGCACTGGCTGTCATTGTGCTAAATATTAAGGGTCTCATTAGGAACGAGAGGCATTGATTTTTAGGTCTCTTCACAACAGCCTGGGTTGATCATAAAACTTGTAGCCAGAGAATAACCAAGAAAGACACTTGGAGATGTATCTTCAGTTGCATCCTACTCCCAGGAAATAGTTTTAGTATCCTCGGACTATAGGATCTCTTGGATGACATCCTGGGAAAGTGTCTTTTAAGGTTTGAAATTTACATACAAAAACTGTAGATTGAAAAAGAGAAGTCAAAGTTGTCTCAGTTAGTGCCCTGAAGGAGTAATTCACCAAGTGATGCTTGAGTGGCCCCGACAGTGCCTGGAAACAGGAGAAAACTGTGGGTACAGATGGCCTCCAGGCTGACTCAGGAATGGACATGGTCTGTATACTGGTCTTAAGATTTATTCTAGACCAGGGCTAGATATTATTTTCCTGTGGTTAGATCAGCTCCATTCACAAGAATGGACAGCCCTTTCAAACTCACTCAATCACCCGCCATCAGTAGAAATACTGCTAACCTCATGTACAGGTTCCTGTGTACAACTATGCCAAAATCAAAATAATCCTCCATTTTCTTCATTTTCTTTCATATGAGGTCTCAGGTGAAGTTTCAAATTGGAGAGGGGGGAGGAGAGGGAGAAAAACTCCAATGTCAAGAAACCCACTCTGAAAGATGGTAGAAAAGCAGCCCAGGCCTCATCACTATCTCTGCCCAACTTGAGGCATGTCCAATCAGCACGTAGAACCTGAAAGACCTTTTCCAGGGCCCGGTACCTAAGGGGGACATTGCTACTCAGGCTGACTCCAACACCCAAATGGATTCACTAATTCAAACACACTTAGTATTCCCACCTATGACAACATGGTGCCAGAAAAGAGCTGATGCCCGGAAATACTTGACCATCATGGTCTAGAGCAACAAGCTTTGGGCAAGATAGTCCGTGGCTCAACAGTTTACTGTGAGTGGAACATGAGGAGTCCCACTCATGGCAACAGCTTTGCCCTTGCTCTGTATCCCCACAGCGTCATCCCATGGAATACCCAATGGAGCATCAGGGATTTTCTTTCTGGTCTTATATGCATATCATTTGGAACTGAAAAGTTCTCCAGAGGCATAGGCATGGAGCATCTTGTTTATATGACCCTCCATGATATGATGCAAGTTTTAAGAAACTGTGGTTCTAGCATACTCTAGAAATTGTGATGTCCTGCACTTAAAAAATTTTTTAAAAAATCTACTGGAGGGCAGAGATGGGAGGATGATATTTCGAAGTCAGACTGGACAAAAAAACGTTAGCAAGACCTCAAATCTCAAAAAATAAACTGGGCAGAGGGCAGAGGATCATGGTCCAAGGCCTCTAAGCAAAAGCAAGATCCTACCTGATAAATAAAATAAAAACAAAAAGTGCTGGGGACATGGCTCAAGTGATGCTTGCCTACAAGTGTAAAGCCCTGAGTTCAAACCCCAATGCCACAAAAAAGTGCTATTTTATCACTTTATACCATAGCAGGAGCTTTAACTTGGAGAGTATATGCTATAGAGGAGATCTGAAAACCATTCCAGATGGTCCTGTTGTTGTTTTTGTTTTTTGTAAATAAAGTTTTATTAGAATACTGCCTTGCTATTTTGTTGTGTACTACCTATGGCTGTATTTGCCAAACAATAGTACAACTGATGAGGCAAGACATAACACAAGGTCTACAACACCCATGTTCACTATCTGGCCCTTTATGGAAAAAGTCTGATGTAACCTATGCTAGAGTACCATCATGAAGCAAT